ATGATAAGTTTTTTATTCTCGAAGTAGTAACTAGAACGAAATGAATCCCCAAAGAGAAATTAAAAAGTTGATCTATAACCCTAAGCTCAGCGATCCAAATACAGATGATCGACAAAGGAAACCATTATCAATGGATGATCGAGTTAATAAAATGGATAAGGGGCAAGTTACGGACCTTTCGGAATTCGTCGTGGGTGTTGGCGGCAACATCTTCCTCCAAGGATCGCTTGTACCGGTGCTGGTACGCCCTTCTGACGGCCAAGAACTCTTCAGGAGAGTAAATGCAAGATAGTTCAACAATCACTGCAAAATCTTCGTTGGGCTTCCTTAAGGCGACATGCGCCAACACAGCGTCTCTGTCCTCTGGATCTAGAATCCATCGGTACACAGCTCTCTGTTTTCACAACAAACAATCAATCAAACTCCGATTCAGCCTGTATAACAATCATATTCTACAAAAAGCGTATAAACAAGAGAACGGGTTGATCTCCTCAAAAAATAAGCAGAGAATCCAATGATTTTCGATGATCGGGAACAGGAGAGCAGTATCTGTCTATCTGAAACTGATGATGAGGACGATGATGAAGAACATAGCCATAAAAGAGAAGAATACGACGATCGATGAACTTTAAAGAGTAACAAGCAAGAATATGATGAAAAGAAGAACCTCAATGTGGCCAGAGAGCTCAGATTCAAAGCGCTTAACAAGATCCTCTTCAAAAAGCTGTTCATAAGCAATCCTGATTTGCCTCCTTTGACCAGCATTTCTGTAGCCAAGCACCGCAACAATAGCCTTCTCATCAGTCCCCCACCCTACAGAGAGAGAGAGCGAGAGAAAGAACAAGAGAGATTCAGAAAGATCAACAAAACATGATCCGATCAGACGCTAATGAGTAAACGATCCATTGAATCACCTTTGAAAGCAGCTTTAATGGCTTCTGCATCAACATTTGGGGGAGGAACATCATGAGGAACACGAAGAGTCGCCATAACTTCAAACTTGGGATGGATTTTTCAGTAGCTATGAGCAGATTCAGCTGCGGAATGCTCTCCCTCAGTCTCTACCCACGCCTTTAAATACTAAAAAAATTATTAAGCTTCTCTGTGAATTTACCAGCGCTCGTCTTGAAGTCCACGCCTCCATCAGAGATTGCTCAACGTGGCCTGCAATGGAGGCTGCCACTCATCAAGATCGACATGTCGATTTCATATTTCTAAACTAGTTTTTATTTGTAATAATTTATAATTTTTTTTTATAGGATAATTTACTTTTTAACTTTTGAATTCAAACCTCAACTCACTCAGTTTCGATCGTACTAGCAACGACGAGTGTGAGGAAGATTCAAACTACGACGTCACTGAAGACAACAACCTTACGACAATGGACAGAGCGACCAAAGTAGGACGATGAACGACACCCACTGATAGAGGGCGTACAAAAGTTTAAGGTTAAAAAGTTAATAGATAATGTTACTACACTCAATCACTGCTAGTAAATATTGTCTTTTTCAGATATAAATGGTGTTTTATTCTCTTCCCGTCCAGATAAGATATAATGGGATTAAAATTTATAAAACTACTTTCCAAGTTTATAATTAAAAAAGATTTGTTTTAATAATAAAAATTAATTTCTTTATAAAGTAAGAGAAAAAAATATCAATCAAATAAAGGGGAAGATTTGCTTTCCCGCTTAATTTCAGCAAGAAGACAAAAGAGTCTTCTTGACGTTTCACTTTAAATTAAAAAAAAATTAAAATTATATATATATATATATATTAAAAATTTTCAATTTAATCGAATTTTGAGGATAGAGGAGTTAAACCTTTTCCCCAGGTTTTATAATCATTATAATTAACACTTTTACTCTACGTAATAATAATAATAAATATTTTGCCCAAATTTTAATATTTTATTAATTTTTTAGTACATTCGAATTTTAACCATAAATATATATTTATATCCTCACTTAAAATTTATTAATATTTTGTTGCTATTTACTAAAATAAATTAGGGGTTGAAAAAGGAAAATAAATTAAAACGTTTATTGAAAAAATAAATTATAAAATAAAATAATTACATAAAAAAAATTACAATTAATTTTCCATAGTTCTTTTGAATATGGTTTTTTTTTTCTTACTTTTTTAATCTAAAAAATTATTTAACTATTGATTTTGTGCACATACAAATTTCTCACTAATATTAATTTTCTTAAAAATGTCTGCAAACAAAATTATTTTTAAGTCAATGAAATTATTTCCATTAAAAAAAAAATAGTAATATTCTTATTTAGGTCCTCAACTTAAAAAATATTGTGTAAAAAAATATCACTAAAATAATAAAAAAAATTAAAAATTAAAAATGTATTAGATATATTTGGTTGTGAATTTTAAAAAATATCAAATAGATTAATTAATGATTTATTAAATATAAAATAACAATTTAGAATTTTATTATATATTTTCATATTTGTTAAAAGCCTTTTAAATTTAAAAATTTACCTGATCTAAAAATTAAAAAAATAGACAATTAAACAGAAAAAAAGCATAAAGGGTATCATTTAAAAAGAAAGTGGTTGAACTTACCCGTAACAAAGCTATATTTATTAATACGTGTTAATTAAGCTAAACTTTAAATGCATAATTTTTTTTTCCTTTTTTCAATCCCGGAAGAATTATAATTTATACGCGTGATATAAATTCTACGTATTTAATAATTATGAGTATTATTTATTTATTTTTTTTATAATGCATAAATATTTTTTAAGGTAGTACTAATAGTTTTATCCATATCCATATATTTGGCGCAAATGGTATTTACTATTAAAAAATAAAATATTAATTAAATTTTTGATAGTTTAAGGGTGTTTTTTAAAAATTAAAAGTATTTTTAAAATAAATTATTAATAGATATGAATATTTAAAAAAAAGGTTAAAAAGGTAAGTTGGTTAATTTAGGGTAATAAATTTAAAGCTCAAAAATATATAAATTAATGCATTGTGGAAAATCGTGTGAGTTCTTGGGCGGCGTGTCCAATCTGTGCCTGTGAAGGAGCTGTCCAGCTGTCCATTATTTTAAGGAATTTTCTAGTACAATATATATATATATATATATATATATATATATTTTCAACAGTTTTAATAGAAAAAATAACATAAAATCAATATATCATCTCACCTAAATAATTGACATGACAAAGATTATTTGTATTTTTTTTAAATTCATCGTTCACAAAATATTCTTATCACTAAATAATAAATCATTAAACCAATTAGCTCACAAAATTTATCTTTTTTTATTTGCTATTACACGAGGATTTTTAGTCGTCGATCCCATAGAAAAAATAAACACCCACGGGATCCATAAAGTCATCCATAGTTTTCAAAATAAATCTACCAAACATATTTTACGAGAAAAAGAGCAAAAAAAAGTTTTTGATGAACTTGCCAAATTTTAATTTTAATTTTATTATGATCATTCTCCCGTGTCTTATACATTTTAAGTAAATTATTTTTGTTAGCAAATATGATGGTTTGAACTTTTGACATCCTGAGAAATAATATAGGTTAGTTAGGTGCATGAGTTTGAATACAAATTTATATGATTCGTCCATTTTATCTGAATTGACCTTTAAAGAGATGTTTGGGTGAGATGGTAAGTCATGTCCTCGAGACAACTTGTCCATGCGCGAGGTGGACGACAAGACAAACACAAAGATGTCACAACATTTTCCTTATATTTGTCGTGTTTTAGGTATAATGTAGTTGGTATTTTGATTTATTTTTTGAGTAGGGTTAGGGTTTGGTAACTTCTAACAATATATATTTTCTTCCTCCCTTTTAATTTTTGTATTTATTTTAATCTTTAGAGCTCTAAAATATTTATTTAATGGTTTATTTAGGTATTCCTACTTTTAAAAAAGAAACCAGGATTAAAAAAATATTTTTAATATAAAAAATGCTTTAAATGAGGTTAAATTTGAAAAAAAAAATATGAAGTTATTGTTTGTCCAACATTTATTAAATAATTTTAGGTTAAATTATAAAGATTAAATTCCAAGTAATAAAATTATGGATATAAAGATTATGAAAATGAATTTAATTATATCGGGCTGATTAAATGGATCCAAATTGGAAAAAAAAAAAAGCTGCCAAACCCATTAGGCCCACAATGTGGATGGTTGTCTTGTGAGCTGCCGCTCATGATGGGCCCTAGATATGGGCCTTAGGCCCAAACAATCTGATCCAAAATATAATGGACTGTTTTGGGGAAAATAAAAGGAAAAAGAAAAAAAAAAAACACAGAAATTATGTTTTTCAAAATCACATTTTTACAAATGTCGAAGTTTATTTATTTATTTATTTTAAATATACTGGATTTTTTAATGTATTATACAAATTATTATTTCTTGATTTTTTTTTCATTTTTCTTAATTCAACTAAAATTAATTAAATAATAATACAAAAAATGATATTTTAAAGGTTTTAAATTCAAAACTACGATGGAGAATATTATAAATATTTTGTAAAAATGTAGAAACAAAAATAAAATAGAATTTCCTACTCGTCCAATTTTTAAAAATAAAATTTGCATTTATGAGGTAGAAAAATATCAATTTTAAGTAGAAAAGGGCATTAATTTCAGAAAATTAATAATAAAAATAAATAAATAAAAAAGGATTTATAGAGGAGGGGCTTTGGATAAAGGAGTTAAGTTAGAGTCCGCGTTGGCAGAGTAAAAGCGACAGTTCAGCAAAGCTCCACCACAAATTAAGTCCTCAGCTGGGGCCCACAACACCTCATTGCCACTCATATCTCCAAATGTGAAATGAAATCCAAATGAAATTCAAATTCACTGCCATCCAATCAGGTTCTATTATTTGATCACAGTCTCCACAGCCACAACTTTGGATACAGTTTTCTCACACGTGTCGTCTCTCTCGCTCCTCTACTCCCAACTCTACCACTTCACGTGACCTCACGTGATTCCCTGTTTCAACCAAACCAAATCCCTTGGCTACTCCTCCATCCCAAATCCTTCGCCTCCAGAAAGCTCCTTTTCATTTGGTTTTTTCCTGAATTTATCGCGTGGCTCTGTGTTTTTCTGCCTGTTTCTCTCTTTTTTTCCCCCCTTCCATGTTCCAGGGCTTTTGAACGCCATCCTGTTTCTGGAGGAGTTTGATGCTTTCTGTTGCTGATTCCGGAATTTTCTTTCCGTAACTACTTTTTCGGAGAATTCGGCGATGTGCGGATCAATCTTCGATCAGTTGTTGGATTTGGATTCTGGATTAGAGATTTTGTTTGATTTTTTCAGCCATGTTTGATTGGAACGACGAAGAGGTAGCCACCTTTTTTTTTTTTTTTTTTAAGTGAATTTTTGTTTTTCTTGGCTTCAATTTTACTTCTGTAGCGTGAAATAGTTGTTGATGTTTTACTTCTGTGGCGAAGGAGTGGATAGTGTATCTGGGTGTTGCTTAGCTTGTTTTGTTTATAGTACTGCCATGGATAGTTTTTGCATTGAACCACCGAATCTGTATGCGCGCGGCAAAACCCATACCTTACACTTTCATTGGAAAAGCTTATTGCAAGAATGGGAGACGAATCTGATGGATCTGATACTCAGCTCAGCATTTCATTCCTTAGGCAGTTCAATATCGTTAAAAGCAAAGGGATGTAATTTAGTAACTCGTGGAATGAGGAAAGTCTTTTGGGAGGAGCTAGGAGGCCTTTTCGAGCTTTGTGTTGCTGTGGGTGTCTGGGGGGGACTTTAGTATGACCTAATGGCACACGAGATGGAGTGTACTGGGACGGCATCACTTGATCTATGAGGAGGTTTAATAGATTTATCAAATCCTGTGGTCTCTTAGATCTTCCCCGAGTGAATGACTGGTTTACATTGTCCAACCAATGAGAGAGAGAGAGAGAGAGAGTGTTGTATTGTAGACGAGATATGTTTTTGTTGTCAAGAGGTTGGTTGGACACTTTCAAAGAAATGAGAGAATCCTTAGGCTCGATAGTCATGTTTATCTGCTTGAGTTTAGGTTACACTTTTAGGTCATTTACCTTCTTGACTGGGTGTAAATGTTGAAGATTAGCAAGCAAGAGAGATTTTGGTATATGGTGAAATTATCCTTGCTTGAAGAAGTTCAAAAGGATTGGAATTACAGTCTTGGGACCTAGGAATTTTGGATAAAATTAGACTCTTGAGAGGAAGGAACTATGAGCAAGGAGTTGAGAGAAGTTTGTATAAGGTTTAAAGAGGATTTCAAGAAGTTAATTTATTGGGAGGATTCCTGCTAGAGACAAAAAGCAAAGGTAAAGTAGGTTAAAAAGAGCGTGGTTGTGATGCATACTATTTTTTCCCTTTCTATTTTTATCCCTCGCTTCCTCCAGACTTTTCTTGGAAGGTTTATGTTGGTATTTCCTTATAGCCTGGGATCATGAAGGGTTGAAGACTCCCTTTATTTTGGAAGAGAGTGGTCTTTAGCTTTAATGGGAGTAAAGGCCTGATTTGGATGGCTTCACTATGGCTATCTTCACTGAAAATTGGAATAGTTTTAGAGAGGACTTAGGCAAGGTCTTTTTTGAGTTCGTGGAGGGGGATTATAATTCTTCCACACACGAAACTTATATTTACTTTATTTCCAAGAAGAGAAGGGTTAGAGGAACAAGGACTCTATTAGTCTTGTCACTAGTTTATTTCTGTAAGATCATTGCTTAAGTTTTGAGAGATAGGTTACGGAAAGTCTTTTATAATGCTATTTAGATTTTTAAGTGCCTTTATGAGGAGACAATTCTTAGATTAAGTTTTCTATTGTCAATGAGGCTACGGATGATTATAGAAGTTCATTGTAAGTGGGAAGAAAAGATGGCCCAGAGGAAATGAGTTTAAGTTAGAGTGGCTACCAACCTAGGATTCAATAACCTATAAGTTTTTATCTATTAAACAAATCAATAGATGTGAAATTGATAAAAGATTAGAATATGCAACTGAAATTTTCAAGAGATTCAAGTTAAAGAAGAGTACAAATATTAGAGCAGAATTTTATATTTAGCCAAAAAAAGCATGATCTCGGTCAATTTTATTTCACTGGTAGTACGGGTTGTATATGAAACCTTGTTTTGGAACATTTGTCTTATTGTCGCAATGGATTTACCCACTCAGATTATAATCTCTTCCACCATTTACAAGTACTCTGGACGGCGATATGCATCTGCTGTTGTTAGATTAATCATGACAGATCAGAGCATATAGCCTTTGCTCTTCTCATTTCTGTGGACAATTCATTCCGAAGGTTTTTTTTTTTTTTTTTTTAAGTTAAAAAAAAACAAGAAATTAAATTTTCACTGATGGATGGAAATATACATTCCCTAGAAGCCATTGGGTCAAGTTATACTCCTTACTCTGACACCAACTGATGAAAAGAATATTTTTCTTGAATTTATAATCTCATTCCTTCACAACTTTGCAGCACTTGCGTTTGAGGGCAGCGGTTATTGTAGCTAGTAATAGTCTTATACAACGTAGCATTCACTGAAAGTAGAAGATTTAGTAGTGAATACTAAATAGTACATTCAGTTAAAACATTCTGAAAAACTTAGGTGAGATCCCCATGTAAGGAGAAAGAGAAGAGGAGATACCTGTAGGGAGCCCAAATTGGTACAAGCTCGACTTTCTCTGTACCTATTTTCTACTTCTTTATTGAAGCTTTTCATTTCAACAGTGAAGGAGCAATTTCCGTTGTTACTTGAGATTGTAGAAGAATAAAGCTCATTGTTTCACATGTATCTGGCTGCGTGGTTGATCATTTAAGCGATTCTATGATTTAGTTCATTGATTTCTTTCCTTTTCCTGGGCATACAAAAAAATGGGTCTTGATTAGAATGTGCTTGCCACTCGTTGATTACAATTAATAATTACGTGCTACAAAAAAATTCCTCTCTTAAATTGTGATCTTAAATTTATGTGATAATTTCAGCTTGCAAATATAATATGGGGTGAGGCTGCTGATAGTGATGATCATATTGTGCCTTATCGGGAGGCTAGTGAGAATTATTATGACAAGAAAGAATGGCATCAAGACACGGTATGCACAAAACTTATGGAGCAAAAGTCACCTGGGACTAATGTTGATGATACCCATGAAAGAAAGCTGGAAAGCAGTCCTGGCAATGAAGAAGGAACCTCTGCCTCAAATCTCGACAATGATCCATTGGCTGACATATCCTTGTCCAAACCTTGCAGAATTGACCAGGACTCTAATGGTAATGAAGTATCTCATGAATTAACTGAAAATAGCAAATATAATTCACCAAGATATGGTAAAGATATTATATTTTTGATTCTCTGTTAATTCTACAGAGATATATGTGCGCTCACATACAATGCAACATTGACGAGCTTTAGCATAAAAGTTCAATTGTGTACTAATTTTTTGAATGACATGTATACTGACAGCTGCGATGATCAAAGATGCCCAAAGTTTTCAAAGAACTGAAGAAGGTAAAGGACAGGCTGATTTTGTTGACTATGGATGGGCTAATATTGGAAGTTTTGATGACCTAGATAGAATTTTCAGGTACATCGGTAGTTTATTTTCTTAACTCCTTGATTGATGGTTGTATAATTAAAATAAGAACTCATCATTCGTAAGCTCTTTTTTTTACTGAAGCCAAATTATACCCATGATGAAGAGGAAACAAAAATGTCTAACGTTGACCTGAAACAGTGTGGTCATGCAGTGAGCTGATCTTGTTTTATACCCTTTTGGGAAAGACTTGTCTTTTTTACTGATGAAATGGAACAGATTCTTGTTGCTTTGCTCCCTTATATTATTAAAAGACATTCTTCATAAATCGTGAGAGAACACCATGAAGATGTTCGGAGGCAAATAAGGTCCCATAAACCAGCAATAGTTGACTCTGACCCCTCAATCCTAGCCGACCAGGCATGCCACAGCACTGAGTAAACTGTAATAATTCAAAGAATTTTAGAGCGGCCCTTAAAATTGGTACCAACAAGAAGCTGGTTAATTTAGCAAGCTGGAGACTTAGGAAAACTCCAGCTCAACCCAAAAATAGAAAGCAGCTTAGTCCAACAATCACACATTTTTAATGGTAAATTACAATCTAATTAAAGTTTTGGGATCTTAGTAGGTCTTAGTCCTCTTAATCCTCTCTAGCAGTAGCGCCATATCTTTTATCTTTAGTTTTAACCCTGTCGTCACAACTGTAGATACTTGCCCGACAGTGGTTATCATGTGTAATTTTCATTTTACAAGGATTTTTCCTCTTCTTCTCTAGTTCTTAATCAATTGTCGATGATTCTTGGACAATGTTGCAAAATATAATATGCTCGTTTTTTTACAAAAATTCAATTATGATTCATTATTTCTATTATCATGTTCAAATTAGTCAGTACATGATCACCATTACCAAAGTTGTTGGATAGTCTTGAAGCATGATAGTGCATCAGAGTTTTTATTTGTCCCGTAGGTCAGAGTTTTTCTTTGTCCCGTAGGAATGCAGTCTTATTCTTTGAAACGTTTTTGTCCCTATATTAAATCTTTTTTTTTTTTCTCTAACCAATGTCAATTTTGTAGCAACGATGACCCAGTATTTGGCCAAGTAAGTCTCAGTGATGCTGATGAGATGTGGTCTTCTTCTTTGAAAGATTTGCACAACAGCCCGATGAAATTATTCCCAACTGTGGAGTCGCAGAATTTGGACTCAGGAGTGGACACTGAAAAGAATCCAGAGTACTCGAAACAAAATGAGCAATTATCTACTCTTGCCAGTGGGCGAAGTAGTGATACTGGATCACTTGGGTTGCAGACTGGAAGTGCAATCTTAACAAATGTAGGAGATAGGACTGGAGCTCTTGCAAAGGATCTGGTATTAAACATGTTGGAATAGTGCATTTTCTTTTGCTATTTTTTGAGCAAACTGAAAATTCTATGTAATTTGCTTGGCTTATCCAGACGGATCTGGAGAAAATGGAAAAACCATCTGCAGCCACACTTCACCAAAGACCTGATATTACCGCAACTGCCAATGAGTTTTCAAATAAGGTTTGTTTCTCATTTGTTTACTCAATTAATTAGTTGATCATCCTTTTGTTTACTGTATTTCAGCCTTTTTACCTGCCAATGAATATTGAATGTGGAAACAGCAACTTTGTCCAAATACCTGCAATGATAATTAATCTAAAAGAATGGTCAGCATTAGTAGATAGGATGTTGTCATTTTCAATCTACCGTTTTCAAGTAGATTAATTTTCATGTGGTAACCAGGTGGTAAAAAGTAAATCCTCGAGTTTATCATCGTTGATATTGAGTGTAAAATCTACAAAACTCTAAGCTATCTGTCATTAGCTTGCAATTCCGATTGATTTGGAAGGTGGTACCTAATGCCCCTGTTCTTTCAAATTCAAGTTTTCTGCAATGCCTATCTAATTCAACCTCTACCCGTAGGTGTCCTTATATATTCATAGGAATGAAGTGAGAGAATACAAATGGTTGTCCCAAAAAAAAAAAAATAAATAAATAAAATAAGGGTCTCCATGCCAAAATAATAACACCTAATGACAATTATGAAAGTCCTATGGAACTGCTGCCAAACTGAGGCATTGAGCATAACTTTCAACCACACCTCCTCCCAAGATCCCTCCCACCAAAGGTATGTTCAATCCATGCAGCAACCATAAAAACTTTTAAATGGTTGTAATTTAATGGTAAACTCCAGCAACCATTGGTGAAAAGATTACCGACTCACCATTCACATGTTTACTTGCTGTCACATTTGCTTTAATTTCAAATCTTTATGCAAATTTCAAAGAACTTTTTTGTTTTACTACCAATCAGTCAAATTTGAACTTGTTCCTCTACGATGGAATCTACTCCACTTACAACTCCAAGCAAATAATAAGTACCTTTGGTAGGAAGGTTGTTATAGCTATAACTAGTAGAGGGACAACTTCCAATTAACTTGATAGTACTACAATAAACAGTAAACCTATATTCAATAGTTAGATCTGACAGGTGAGATTACACTGGACTCTAATAAGTTGAAAGGAGCAACAGGCACCGACTTATGGTTGTCAATGTAGTGTTATATAACTGCGTATGCCTTTTTCATTTGCCCACCCAGAACTAGCAACCTTGCTTTGTGCTGGTGGTTTTTACATCAACTTAACTATTTAGACGTCCACTTCTCAACCCTGATAGATGTAGTCATAGTCTTTTCTGTCTGATCTCTAATTTTTATTACTTTTTCATGTTTCAGATTGGTAGTCAGAAAAAAGTGTTGAAATCTCGTAAAAGATCGGAGGGGAGAAGTGTTGAGAAGATGTTTCAAGATTTTCATGGAAACTGGCCTTCACCAACGAACCCAGCAGCTCAGTTTGATAACAAATCACCTCAGTACCAACGAAGCTCCAATCCTTTGATGCACCAGCCATTATATCCGATTGCTGCAAATGCATATCCTGTTGTACCCTTGCTGTCCCAAATTCAGCCGGGAGATCTTCAGCCTCAGCCTTTTATCAGTCAAGATATTTCCCCCAGTGGCGCAAATCATGTGGACAAACCAGCCGATGGTTTTGTAAAGTCTCTTACCATGACACCTCAAGAAAAAATTGAAAAGCTTAGGAGAAGACAACAAATGCAGGCAATGCTTGCCATTCAAAAACAACAGCAACAGTTCAATAATCAAGTCTCTACTACCAGTCAATCCATTTCTCCAAAATGTCCCCAAGAAATTCAGTCTCAGCACATCAAAAAGACTGATCTTGTTTCTGAAGAAATATACACTTTTCCTGCTCAAGATCCGAAGTCACCTTTAGAGCAAGATGATTCCAGTACAGTCTCCACCATGGTTGATCGTTTTTCTATGGAAGATACAACTCTTTGCAGACTTCAAGAAATTATTTCTAAGGTATACCTGACTTTGTGAGTGGATTATTTTCCTCCTAGAGTAACCTGACTTTAGTTACAATGCCCTAGAAATGTTTTACTACAGCTGGATTTCAAAATCAGACTTTGTATTCGGGACAGCTTGTTCCGGTTGGCCCAAAGTGCAATGCAGAGACATTATGCTAACGACACAAGTAGTTCCAACAAAAGTACCAGAGATGAAAATGAAACCACTGCAAAAGGAGAAATCAATAGTCATTGTAGGTTAGTAAATGCGCTTTATTACTCATTCTCTCGCATTGAGTTGTTCAAAAAATATTTTTGAGATCCTGCCTCAATTGTTGAGTCATGAACTTATCTCTTGTCATTTCGAATGTCTGCTAATAAAATCTAATATTTTTATGTCAAAACTAAGATTATTACATTGAGGGACCAAAACATTAATATGTTAGTGCAACATAGTTCACTGTGTTTTAAGGTTCATGGTATGAAAAACTTAATCCACTCAAATTATTTCATAATTAAAAAATAGTCGTGAGTGCTTATTCTAGAGAACAAAACAACCTAATTGCAAATAATAGAATTGCTTCTATCTTTTCTCAAAAACTTTTTTTTTATTAAATGTATGGTCTGATTTGAAGTATTGCTTTCTAATTTGAGAAAATGGAGAGTTTGTAACGTTGGTTAAGTCTTAAGAAAGTTACAAATCTGGTGGGTGAAAAGGGGAAATTTGGGAGCTGAGATTATAATCAGTGGCCTAGAGAGCCTTTCAATCCCCACCTATTTCACTTGTGTTTTTCAATAAATAGTTCTAGTTCTTCTCAACTCTACTTGGTCGCTTAATATATGGCGTAAGAGCTTGTGCAAACATAATAGAAGTCAAGCCAATATAAGGCAAGAAGAGCTCTCTTGATATTTAGTAATAAATTACTTCACATCTTAGTTATAGTTGAATATGATCCTGTGGTTACATCCTAAGAATGGACTTGGTTACTCGAGTACTACATATTTCCATCTGTGTTACCAATGATTTTCCGTATGATTTGAAGAATTCTAATGGAATCTCTAACTCTGTGATGTCCTCTGCTTTCTTTTGTATTCTTTTCTAGAATGGCTGGGGAGCCGGATGCTGAAACAGAGACCAACTCCATCGACAGAACTGTGGCTCATCTTCTCTTCCATAGACCCTTCGAGTTTTCACAAAACTATCCTGATGCACCCGAATCGCCAATTTCTGCGAAGTTTTCTTCCGAGCAGAAGGCAGGTTTGAAGAGCTCGCCAATGGAATTCTTGTCTTGCAATGCGTTGGGTAAACATCATATTTCCATGGATGGGTCTAGAAGTTCTTGGACGTCGGCAGAGATGCAGCAGATTAAAACTAGTCCTTGTATGGACATATCAGATAACACGTCCAATACTGGACTGGTAGATGATGCAGTTCTGGAGTATGAAGCCTCTCAGTGAGGAAATGTGCACGTTAGGACTATCATACGGGTAATTCATTCCTTTATCTCTTCCATGCCCTGTTGTTTGATTCTCATGCTTGACCATATGGATTCATTAATAATGCAAGATCTTCTTTTCATTCATCTGCCTACTAGATCATACAAACCACTGTTATGGGAGCTTCAAAACTTTGACTAACTCGTGGATCCAGAAGTATCAAAATCATGGAACATAGATCTCGAAGTATTGAAATCTCGAAGCACACAACATGCTTCTTATGTATTCAGAAAAAAATAAACTCTGAACAACGATTTGGAGACCGACTTGTATGTAACTTAACACGCACCAGCAATAACTGGATTGTGTTATTTATGTGATGCTATGTCTGTAGTGGTGTGAGCCTTTGGATGTTTTATTTTAGTCCGCTTGGAAGATTGAAACATAACATGCAATTTCCACGACTCATAAAATGTTATTCCTAGTGATTGAATTGTATTCTCATAAAATGTTATTCGTAGGAGTTTAGGATATCTCAGTTTGTGTATGTGTAGAATTTTATATTGTAAGTTAAGATTGAATATGATGCGTTGATTAGATGATTTACATAATGCATTACTTTGTTATATGCATGCTAACTAGACTTTCTCGAGCTTGCTTTCATGTTTTTCAAGATCTATATCACGTGAGCTATAAGTTCAACGAAACTTTGTTGATATTTGAATAGACAAAAGAGTGGATCTACAATGATTGTGTACTATGTTTGTTGCCTTGATGCCAAACGAGCATCAAGGCAGCAACAAAAAGTACAAACATAGTATCATGCCTATGATTAGTGAACTTGGGATCCAAAAGTCCAAACGCAATTTGCTCCATGAGCATAAAAATCAGATCTCTACAATGGTCTTGTGATCGACTATAATTTCTATTATTCTCAATTATTACACTTCTACTTAACTTTTGCATACGAAGTTCCCCGATTTGCTAGTATAATTGATGAACCCAAACTTAGCAGAGGACAGTGCCCACTTGCTTATTAGTGATGGCGGTGACACCAGGCCAACAATGATACAAACTTCGTCGTATCACTTATCACACCTGTTCGAGACTCACCAATACAGTAACTTTTCCTATCTTCTTTCATCAACAAAAAGAATTGCATAGACTCCAAGAAATAACCCATCTCATCATCATGGAACTTCAAAAAAATAGTCAATTGTAGTATTTGTGTCCATACACCAAAATTGATTTAAAAAAAAAAAAAAGAGAATAAAACATGAAAGTTAGAGCCGAGTATCCAAGAGTTCTTTGATCCCTAAAGAGTCAATTTTTTTTAGTAAAAACAAACAATTAAATAAATAAATGGCACATGGGCAAACATTTATTGTTCTTGGTCCGCTCTTCCCACATAATATTTAATAATTTCAACCACATTTTTTTTCTCGATATTCTCACTTCACTCAGAATTGAATTTAAGATCACGTGAGATACAACATACTCACTCAATATCTTACCTCATTAAACATTCGTAGCACTAATTCAATCATTTTTTTAGTTTGACGATTGTAAGAACTGGAGACCCGATCATCAAATATCTAGGACAGTAATTGTTGTAATATCTACTATGTTATGCTCATATTATTTTTTTTACTATAATTAGACAATGCACATCAAGAACTTTTTACTATAATTAAATTTAGGTGTAGTTGATGCATGATCTACCAAGCTAGACTAGTATAACACATCAATTATAAAATTATTATTATTATCATTATTATCATTGGTTTCATAATCCATGTCAAATTTTAGAAATTACAAAAATTAATTTCCAAAAGCAATTTGGAGAAAAAAATAAACAAGTTTTGAAAAATAAAGTTGTCAAAGTTGACCTAATTTTTGTTTCCATTTTAGAGTGCTTTTAAAGTATATATATATATATATATAAAGCGCGTAATTTAACGCAAGAGGACCGGGCGGGTTCGAATCAACCAATTCAATCATTCATAACCACAGTGTTCAACAGGGCGCTGCCGCTTTCCCCCCACCCTCTTTCGAACGTTCGTTTAAAACAACAAATTTTCCCCTCTCTCTTTTCTGGGTATTTTGAATCTTTCGATTGGCGTATGGGAAAGGTTAGAAATCTCTGAGATTTTCGTTTTTCCATTAAAAAAATAAACCGATTTTCGGAATTTCGAGGTCAGTGAAGCCGCCCTGCTTGTTTGTTCTTAATTTCTGCCCTTTTTGTTCTTTCTCGAGAAAAATCTCTCTCTTCTGCCCTTCATACGCTCCTCCTCCTCCTCCCCTTTCTCTCTCTCCCATGCTTTAATTTGAATTCTCTCGGCTCCCAAACGCGGTTTTCGCCACATCCCTTTGAGTATTATCATCCCTTTTTGGCGCTGTTTATTGTCGTATCACAATCAAACTTGCCGTCCACCCAGATTCTTTGGTGGGGTTCTGATTATCTTTTGAGGTATTTCATGATTCCCTTCATTTCTTCATGGTGTTTTGAGTTCTTGTGATTTGGGGCTCTTGTATTTCTTTCTGGGATGGTTTTTATAATCGTCCCGAGATGTTTGAGGCCTTCGTTTATGGGATGTTCTTATCTGCATTTTGTTGGGTTTTCTCATTGATCGGTTTACTCTGCGCATTTGTTGTTGTTCTTTAGGCCTCAATGGAGTTCTGGGTTTAGAAATATTGTTTTATGGGTTTAGTTTAGTTTTTCTCTTTGGTAATTGAATTGGTTCCATTGGGAGTTTAGTGTTCATCATGTTCTTACTCTTTTTCTCTTTTCCAATAATCTTTTAGATCATTGAAAAGAATATTGGATAATGATTTGAGATGCTTTCTTTTCTTTGTGTGAATCATCTTTTTGTTAGTTACCCATTGGTTATAGGACGAAACAAGTTGGTTCTCAAACGATCCATCGGGATCCTAATGCATATAGATACAAATGGTCCCATGGGAGCAAGAATTTTTATGAACATTTCATTTATGAGCAGAAGAGCCATTTTCATTTTCAAGGAGTGTTCACTCGATCACATATCCTCATTCATAGGTCCGAGATTCACATCTATGAATTGAAAGTTCCGAATGATCAACTCTGCAATCGGTTGTTAAAATCAATAGGTCTTCAAATCATTCCTAAGTTGTTCTTATTGTATCTTTTCAAAGGTGGTTTTGAAGTTCTTTCTTGTAACTATGGTTGGTCATTTGATATGATGTTTTGGTCAATACTTCTGGGGTAGACCTATGGATTGGCATATGATGTTCTTAATACTTGCAACTTCTTGTTCATACTTTTCCTAATGTTTATGTTTGTAGGCATTTTATTGATAAAAATGTCATCTGCAAATCCTTATTTTGACGACGTTCGGACCAAACCTGAGGTTATTGATCCTCCACAAGATGATGACATGATGGATGTTAGTGAAAGTGTGAGTGATCCTGCTCGAAATGGAGGAAAGCCTAACGTGGTTGTCTCGAGCAGTGTTCGTGAGCTGTTGGAGTGCCCTGTTTGCTTAAATGCTATGTACCCTCCTATACATCAGGTCAGTTTTCATCGTTTAAGACCTTTTGAATGAAATTGTTTACCTATTGGAGAGGAACGCTCAGATACCAAATGATAAAGAATCACCGTAAGAGAAGTAAGATTCAGATTAGCTTGTTGATCGAATATCTTAAGGTAAGAACACTTGTTTGGATGAAGTAGGTGGTGCTAATGATGGAGTAGGTGGTGATGTTTGTTATGGCAAAGGTTTTGGTGGTAGGTTTGGTGGTGAGGTGGGTAGGGGATTTCGTTGGAGGCAGAAAATCGACATTCGGTGTCCCGAAACTTTGAAACTCTTATTAATTATACCATATTATGTACTCTTTGTTATTATTACGACATGAAACTATTCTCAGGGTTATGGAAGAGATTATAAGTAATATAATCCCGAATCTCCTAAAAACTCCTGAAATCTCTTCAAAGATCGTATAAACGATGATTCTTTCCATTCCACAGGTCGCATAGAATTTGTGAGATCCCACATCGATTGGAGAGAGGAACGAGTAACGGTGAGGATGTTGGGTTCCGAAGGGGGTGAATTGTGAGATCCCACATTGGTTGGGGAGGAGAACGAAACATTCTTTATAAGGGTGTCGAAACCTCTCCCTAGTTGTCACGTTTTAAAAACCTTGAGGGGAAGCTCGAAAGGGAAAACTCACAGAGGACAATATTTGCTAGCGGTAGGCTGGGCTGTTACGAAGATGATGATTTTGGCTCTTGTTCCTATACAAAATACACGGGCTTCGTCTGGATTATAATAGCTCGAGAGCTGTCTTCCTTTTAGCCTCAACTGAATGTTCCCCTCGAGTTTATGAATAATGTTATAGATTTTGGGTAGTCTTTGAGAGTACCATGTGTTCTTAGGTCGATTGACTTTCTGTTGTCGCAGTGTTCGAATGGTCACACATTGTGTTCGGGATGCAAGCCGAGGGTGCACAACCGGTGTCCGACCTGCAGGCATGAACTTGGGAATATCAGATGTCTTGCATTAGAGAAGGTGGCTGCATCTCTGGAACTTCCATGTAAATATCAAACTTTTGGATGTGTGGGCATATACCCCTACTATAGCAAGCTGAAACATGAATCTCAATGTGTATATCGACCCTATAACTGTCCTTATGCGGGGTCGGAATGCACGGTTGTTGGTGATATTCCGTTTTTGGTAGCTCACCTCAAGGACGATCACAAAGTCGACATGCACAATGGAAGCACTTTCAATCACCGGTACGTCAAGTCAAATCCGCAAGAAGTCGAAAATGCCACGTGGATGTTAACGGTACTATTCTGCTTTGTCTTATTGTGTCATGTTTTGGTTATTGGCCTGTTGAAACTTGTTCTAGATAGAGGAGGCTTATGAGTTGAGAATAGACAAATAGTGGATGTGTCCAATAGGGGGATCGGATCGAGTTCATAGCTTTGTTATCACTTCAATTTGAGAGGTCGGACACGCACGCAACTGATACCGTTTTTTCTGTTTGATCTCTAGGTTTTCAGCTGTTTTGGTCAATACTTTTGTTTACATTTCGAAGCTTTTCAACTCGGGATGGCACCGGTGTACATAGCTTTCTTGCGGTTTATGGGGGATGATAATGAAGCGAAGAACTACAGTTATAGTCTAGAGGTGGGTGGAAATGGGAGGAAGACGGTGTGGCAAGGAGTGCCACGGAGTATTCGGGACAGTCATCGGAAGGTACGGGACAGTTTTGACGGGCTTATTATCCAACGTAACATGGCGCTGTTCTTCTCGGGGGGAGATGGGAAAGAATTGAAGCTGAGAGTAACTGGTAGGATTTGGAAGGAGCAGTAGTAGTAATGTGTTTGTGTTGTGTGTTGTGTGTTGTATGTTTAGGTGCTTAGAAGAAGAAAGTAAAGTAGAGAGCCTAATTTTATTTTGAAGGCAAACTCTGTGTTTGCTCTGATGGGAATTCAAATACGCGTTCTTCTTACTTGTCTCTTGATTTTTACTTTTTTGCCCCTCCCCCGTCAGACTTGAATTTACATTTTAACCCTTGTTTATTGGATATTTATTTTAATAGCCAAAATAATAATAATAATAATAATAATAATCATACGCATTATGCTGAGCTCTGTAATAAAGCTCAGATTCGAGTAATAATTTGACACAAAGTCCAAATTGAACCAAAGTCTGCATTCTTCGGCCCAAACAAGCCCTCTTCGGCCCAAACAAGCACTCTTCGGCCCAAACAAGCCCTCTTCAGCCCAAACAGCCCTCTTCGGCCCATACAAGCCCTCTTCGGCCCAAACAAGCCCTCTTCGGCCCAAACAAGCCCTTTCCTAAAGGATGGGCCCAAAATGATTACAGCTTCCTTTCAAGACTGATGAAATAACTTGGTTCTTCCAGATTCATTGTTCAAAGCAAATATTTTAATTTACTAAATAAAAAATTATAAGTTATTAGAATGGTGGGAAGAAAAATATTGCAAAAAACACGCGATTTGGATGCGCGTGGTCTTTTAGTAATCAGTCGTTAAATAAACAGATCAACTAACTTACCTACCGCAGATTCTGTCATCCCCTAAATTTCGAATTTCCCTCCCCGAATCCATTTCCACTATTCACCAAAACATCGCGACCCATTTTTTTAGCCATTTTTGCTGTGAAATGCTTTTTTATTGTTGGCAATCACCGGACTCATTTCATTTTCTTCAATTTTCTGTTTATTTTTCTGTTCTAATCCCCACCTAATGCAGATTTCTCTTCGTCTCTTTCGTTACCAATGAATTTTCCTTCGTTTTCCGTCCAATCTTCCCCTGTTTGCATCCTCTGTGTATGTTTTAGGATCCATCTGCTTTATCGTTTTACCCGATGGAACAGAGATTCGTTGTAATGAGCCCTAATGCCATCCGTACGCATTTTCGAACCCTAAATCGTTAATCGGCATTGCAGAGAAGAATCTCGGAGATGAATTGTATTTATCTTGGTAATTTACCTAACAATGTTGTCTACTTTCTATGATCTATTGCCGATTTCAACGTTCTTTTCTTTGACGGTCTTTTGTGATTGATTAGGGTTCAAGCTGTTGGAGTTTTCCTAGGCGTATTTCGAGAGTTAAGTTTCCGCTTAAGAGTTTGGATTCATTTTTTCCAGAAATGTCAGTCAAGTTACAACAGATTGATCAAAAGGGTGGTGGTTCAGGTACTCTTTTTCTTCATCATTTCTGGTGTGAATTTCATGTGTTCCTGTAACTATTTAGATTGGGGTTTTGAAATCCTTAATATATATCCATGGATGTCGATTTTTCATGGCCTTGATAGTTTGGGGTTTTGAAATCCAAGTTTCATAAATGTAGTGAATGGTCGATTCATCTTCCTCCTTGAATGTTGGAACTGTTCTATATAAATCTTCCAGAATATCCTGTTCTTACCTCCATATTCCATTACTCCATCATTGATCAGGCACACAGAAAAGGCTGAAGGATCTCACATCTCAGTCTGCCAATAAATTCTGTGCAGATTGTGGGTCTCCAGATCCAAAATGGGTGTAAGTATTGTATTATATTTGCTATATGGAATACAATTCGTACATAGTTAGGGGAATAATTAAACTGAGAGTTCAGTACTTGACTATTCTGAAAGGTACCATCCTTCCTGAGAAGTTTGAATACTGAATTTAAAATTATTAGGAATGTGCTACGAAGCTATTGAAATCGGTTTGATTTTATTTTGCTCATTCTTTTTGCTGCAGAACCATGCTTGCGTGGTGTAGTGTTTATATGGTTGATTACATATCAGCTTACCAGCTCCTTTTTACGCCTAACTTGCTATCTTTCATGCTTGGCAACTATTTTTTTATTGGTTAAGCATCTAGGACTTGGAGGGCATCTGATATGGAACTGTTAGGATTAGATTTAAAAACCTTATTCAAAAACTACAAAAATGACAAGGAGTCGACCCAAGGAAAAGTTTAGGAACGGATTACTTTGATGATTAAGATCAAAAGTAAAGAAAACTCGTGATTCGAATCACTCCAAGATAGTTTGATCAAAACTACTTGAATGACTCTAGTTTGCAAATCTAAACACGAGAAATGCGATGAAACAAGCTAATGGCTTAAGAAGCATAATATGCAACTTTCATTATGATATCAAAATCTTTTTACTAAAGCAACAACATGAATGACTATTTATACCCTTGAAAATAAACCTTAGTATAATGACCACTAGCTAATTGTAACTTATAATCTTAAAGACAATTCTCTAAAACTTAAAAAAATACAACAAAGTCTCCTTAAATCTAAACAACATATACGGATCTTGTCATCTACCATGAAATTTTTGTGGCATGATTAAGACACCTTATTTTGTATCAGTATCAACAAGAGTATCAAGAGAATAAATTTTATAGGTAGATATCTTTGAATCTTTTGTATTTTGATTGTATTCACTTGTTGGATGCAGATCTTTGAATTTGGGGGCATTTATTTGCATCAAGTGTTCTGGAGTACACCGAAGCCTCGGAGTGCATATATCTAAGGTGTTACTCCTTTCTTTAACAGCTCTGATTTGAAGATAACTAATTTGTATTACTTTCTAACATAATCTTGAAAATTATAGGTTTACAATTGATTCTGAAATTATGGCAGGTTCTTTCGGTGAAGCTAGATGATTGGACAGATGAACAAGTTGATGCTTTGACGAGTATAGGTGGAAATACTGCCGTTAACAAAAAGTATGAAGTTTTCATCCCAGATAGCGATAAGAAACCAAAACCAGACTCATCCATAGAGGAGCGTTTGGATTTTATAAGGTAAATCTTTTGTGATGTTATTCTTGCTATAAGAAAATATCATCCAAATGATATAATATTTACATGTTTTGGCTGCACAGGAAAAAATATGAGCTACTGCAATTCGCAAGTCTTGACGACCAGATTTTCTGTCCTTTTCCACCCCCGCAGAAGAAATCATCATTCTGGCATAGCATTTCTTATAATGGAAGCGAAGAAAGGAGGAATTACGAAAAACTACCGACAAAAACTCGAATCGGAAGTGCATTCCGCAACAGCTGGGGAAGAAAAGATTCTGAACCGAAGAACAGCAAGAAGGGAAATGCATTGGTATTAAGCAGCTCAATGGTAATGATCTGTGGAAGTGTTTAAGTTTCTGCATTATTTTCCACACACAACGATTCACGTGTTCTTACTATAACTCTTCTCTGTTCATCGTTTTCCTAATAAAACTTAAGCAGAAGAGGTAGCTGAAGTATATGTTGTGTACTGTTTGCAGGCAGGTATGATTGAATTCGTTGGTTTAATTAAGGTCAACGTAGTTAGAGGAACCAATTTAGCTATCAGGGATATGGTGACAAGCGACCCATATGTAATTCTCTCGTTGGGCAACCAAGTGAGACTCCCTAATGAACCTTTTTCATATTGTCATAGCTCCTGGGGTGGGAAATTGCCTGAATTCTCCTGTGTTCTTATATACTTTTCAGTCAGTGAAGACACGAGTTATCAAGAGCAGTTTGAATCCAGTGTGGAATGAGAGCCTAATGCTGTCAATTCCTGATCACATTCCTCCATTAAGAGTGGTAAGTAAGTTGGATGACCTGAAAATACTTCCTAGTTCCTTCTTTCTCTTGATCACGTTTAGTAGGAGGAACTTAAAGTAACTTTGTGCAGCTTGTGTATGACAAAGACACATTTTCAACCGACGACTTCATGGGTGAAGCAGAAATTGATATCAATCCACTGCTCACGGCAGCCCAAGCCTGTGAGAGATCCACAGTCAGTGAACCGATGCAGCTAGGAAAATGGGTAGCATGCAAGGAGAACACTCTTGCAAAGGATGGCATCATCACTCTTGTAGATGGGAAGATCCGACAAGACATCTCTTTGAAGCTGCAGAACGTCGAACGAGGCGTGCTGGAGATGGAGCTTGAATGTGTTCCTCTTTCTCAGTAGGCTGAGCAATCCATCCATCCACCCATCCATCCAAAACTGAGCTGTTTACAATATTAGGGAACCATAGATAGAGCTGTTCTTAGAGATTGCTGCAAATCATTGGTTGAGCAGGGGAAAAAGGTTACTTTTCAGGAATATCAATGGAAGAAGTGTCTGTGCTGAAGAAATTCTTGTGTTCATAGTTGGTTTATGCCTCAATAACCTTCGTTTGTGTTTAAGATTATCCCCCTTTGAATGTTTTTCTGTAAACTATGTTAATATGTTGGAAAGGAGAAAGAACTTGTACATTCGAGATTACTTTACTTCTTTACTGTGAAATGTGATTGTCTTTTCTTTTTCCAGAATCATTATCATAACTTTAGTAGGTGGAAGGGAACATTCATTCATACCTGGAAATGGGAAGCCTCTAGTTTTCATCAATTCTTGGTTGTTTTGCTGTCGGATCAGACAATTCCTTGCCTCAAATATAATTTAATTGTTCGACTTTGCTATGCAATAAGAAATGGAGTGAAAAGACCAAGTAAGAAGGGTCGATCACTCAAAGACGGAGCCCAGTAGGAGGGTCATCACTCAACGAATCAAAAGGACTAACAGAGGCAGAACCGCCTGAAATTATGATGTCTACTCGAGTCCTGAAGAAGTTTAGAGCGGACTCAAAGAAGTTTAGAGCCCTTAACTGAATACTATTTCCTAGTCCATCAATACGAAGTTCATTTTTACCCAATAACCAAATTTGAGCTCAATATTAATACTATTTCATAGATTCAATATTAACATGGCCACAATTTCATAGATAATATTAACATGGCCACACTAAAATAGTAGGTTTTCATTTTACAAATAGGCATATTCAACTAATCAAACAAACATAATGATATCATAAGAAAATTTCTCGTAGGAAATAAATCTCGATGACTCAATTTTGAAATTTTTTTTTTTTTTTTTTTTTTTGACCAATCAGGCATTGGACGCTGTTGAAGAAAGATTTTCAGAGGTAGCTCATTATTAGAGATTAATCCTGAACCTGACAGATCGTTCCTTTTTCTTTCTGATATACGAAATATGATCGGAATTAATAAACACAGATGATTAGAAACTTTTTTGCAGCTCCCAAGAATTCAAATATTCCAATCCATGTACTCCCCACACACATTCTTCTAGTCATAAGCCTGAGATCCTGTCATAAACTTAATATTAACTGTTTTATAACCTTTCTTCCAAAAGCTATGAAAATTCATGAACAACATCCAAATCCATTGCTGATACCCTTCAGTCTACCAGCAGTTAGAGCATTTCTTCATTTCCTCTCCCCTTCATATTCTGCTGCATGAAAAGCCAAAACCATCAGGCCATTCAAACAAGCCATTGGAAAATCCTTTCACCAGCTGTGTGTGCTTGCTTGATAAACTGCTTTACTAGCAGCAGCTACAAATTCTGAAGCAGAGAGATTACTGATATTATTTATATCCAATACAAGGCAAGAACTTGGTTTCTGCATTCATGGCACAGCTTCAAACCTTGCTTTTAGTTTCTAACCTCTGAAAACAAGAGATTCAGACTTCGGCACTTGAATAGATTATAAAGCAAGCAACTGCAGCCTATTTTGACAAAGAACAGGTCAGGCTTCATTTTCTGTGGCTCACAAAAGTAAATTTGGGTGGGGGGAGGTCTTTTCTAGCTCTCCATCTATCTCACTTAAATTAATCATATGTTTCAACATCTCAGCCAACAGGATAATCTTTACCTATCAGAGCTCAACTTTTTTCAGATGACAAGCATGTACAACGACGTTTTTGCTATCCGACATACCAAAACTAGTCACATTCTAATAAAATCGAAACGAAGTTTCTCCTTTACGCACAAAGAAACCAGAACAATCTGATATATATATATATATATATATATATATATATATGAGAAGACCAGACAGTAGAAATAATTCGAAGTGCAGCCACATACATGAATCCTCATGAAGAGAGCCTAAAAAACACGAAAACATGTTACCTCGCCAACAAGGGAGGGAAGGAAATCTCTTACTATCTGTTAGCAATACTACAATACAAAAGAAGCAGCAGATGTAATAACTAACAAGGGCCATCATTTCAATAGAATTTTAAGGTAGGTATAGATATATGGGTATGAAACAAAGCCTTTTTAGTAAGAATACATCAATTGCAACCTCTGCAAATTGGTGTTGGCAAATAGCACTAGATATTTACATTCCCATAAGAGGGGAATTAGCCTCCCTGTAACAGGTCAAATGAAAAAATAAACCCAAAAGGAAAAAACATGACTCAACTTTGCAGATTGATAACATACACTATTATCAAAATGCTGTTCATAAAGTACATGAACACCAGTACCCAACTGATGAACACTTGGCTAAACAATAAACCATTAACCAAAGAGTCCAAACTTCAAACTTATGTAGCCACATGCACAATCAATAATGTGAGGGTTTAGTGTTTATTTATCAACAACAATGCATCTGAAATACACACCGAAGAACATCGGTTGCCTCGGTCCTTCCTTCGTTCGATTGTTCTAAGAATGTTTCAGGAAGCACATTCTGGACATCGAATTAATCCATTCTCATTGCAATCTAAGCACCGCTTCAAGACTTCTTCATCTTCATCATACAACTTCCTGCTCCCACTGCAAGTCATACAAGGGACAAACCTTACATCTCCACAACCCTCACAGACAAATCCGGGTTCCTGAACCGGGAACCCCTTGAGAATCTTGATTAATTCTCCAGCTTCAAAGAGTTGTTTGATCACCTCGGCTCCTCCCACATGCTTTCCCCTAATGAAAACTTGAGGCAAACTGACATTTTTCTCGCCCATAACACTCTGCAACTCTTTCCTGTAGGCAGAATCCATTGATACATCACGCTCGTCTACCCAAACCCTAAAACCTCGGAATATTACCCTCACGGCATAGCAATCCTCATATGTCCTTCGAATCCCTCGCAAACTGGTCAAATACACCACAATTCTATCCTCAGTACCCGGCAATCGAATGGAAGGAACCCGGAAATCGGAAGCGAAGGATTTCGGGAGTTTAAGCTTGCTTTGAATTTGATGTTGCGATCCCTCGGTGGGCGAAGAAGAAGACTTACCGCCCTCAAACAAATTACACAATTGCTTGACCTTCCCTTTAATCGAATTGGAGGCAGATTTCATGGATTCGAAAGGGCTGTAATACTTCTTGACAGAATCCGTCCGATTGAGGGAGGCTCGAAGGTAGGGTTTCATGTTGGAATCCATGGAGGAGGAGTGCAACGTAACGGAGCGATTGAAGAAGGAAGAAGACTTAGTTCGATCAAATTCCGCCATCGACCCAAATACGAAAACAGGGGAAAAAATGAAATCAAGTCCAAACCCAATAAAAAGCAGGAGGAAAACAACCGAAAAACGTCGAAATGAGAGAAGAAAATGGAAAGGAACCAATGAATCACGACGAACAGAGAATCAAAAAAGAGGGTTGTTTAGGGCGTTTTGATGAGAAAACCGATTGTCCCTGTTTAGGTTAAGGAGGGAAAAGGGAGGAGTATATGCGTAGCTAGTAAGCGAAGAATGTTGTTGGAAAGGGTTTTCTAGAGAGAGAAATGGAAGCTTTTGTGAGCCTTTCGGTGGGGAAAATTAGGGTATGGTTTGAGATTAAGAGAGAGAGAGAGATGATTTTGTGTACCTTTTTGACACGAAGACGCGGCAGGCTTTGTTTGAATTCCACTTGGCGTTTCTTCTTCGTCGCTCGCTTTCATGCTTTCTCTCTCTACCCGACTCTTTCTCTCTCTACCCCACTGGAAACGCTCTGGAATTTGCCCAAATTTGTAAGTTTCTATCTCATTCTTCACCGCCAAAACGTTGACTCCTTTGCTTATTTATGCATACATGCCTTCATTTCTACACCTCATCATTGCGTATAATTTTAAAACTACAAAATTATTTTTAAAATATAAATTCTAATGAATATTATTTTCACTCCAACTTATTTCTCATTTCGTAATTTTTACTTTAATAATAATTTTTAAATATCTAAGAAAGGGAAATTTTAAGAATAGTTTTTTTAGTTAGATTACAAGGTCCTCAAAATTTATTTTTTGTATTCCTATTGTTTAGAATTTAAAAATAATAATTGATTGGTTAGATATAAAGTTAATGTTTAACAATAGATAGTTTTTCTAAAATTTGATGAAAAAAAAAAAAAAAAACTTTAAAAGTGGAAAACAATAAATGAAAATAGAAGATATTCGAATCCCTTATTTGTTAAGTTATATTTATACCTATTTTAATATTTTTGTTTGAGGAAGAAAAATAATTTATTATTCAAAAGGAAAACATTTAATACCATTAATTAAATAAAGTAGTTCATGTGCTTAACGTGTGTTTGTTTCTTTTTTTTAATAAAAGCAAGTGAAATAATCGCAATCATAAATAGGAATTATAGGCCCCATGTAACAATGATCGATTTAAATGCTTCATTTTTTAAACATTAAACTGACTGGCTACCACTTTCAGTTTCGTAGTTAATTAATATATATATATATATACATATTAATTCATTTTTTGAAAGAAAAATTTGTTATTGAAAATTACTTTCTCCAGTTTTAAAAATTTAAAGAAAATTTTGAAGAATAAGGACAATATTAATTTGTCCATACAATATTAAATTTATATTTGGGATATAGTTAAGTTGACAGCTCACACCGAGATATACAACTTGAACCAATATTAAGAATTATAGTATATAAAATAATTACCATTTTTGTAATGAGATTTTTAATTTTTAAGACTCAATTTTAAAGAAAAAGCAATTAGCTTAATTAGCTTAATTAGCTTAACAAAATTTAGTGGAATATTTAGAAAATGTAGACATACCATTATAGGTGTGTACTTGATTCATTAACAAAATCAATTTCTTCATACCTGCAAGAATAATTCAAGAAAAGAATGAAGATCAGAAAATTAATTTAACACTAGTTCGAGTAGTGCCTTACCCTACTACTCCTCTTTAAGACTCCTCGAGTATGATATTGAAAAGTGACCAAACCGACAACAACTAGCATTGAACCATTTTCAAATTTCTTGGACTTTGTTCGGAATGACATTTCAAGTACTCAAAACATTTTGAAAAAGTCATTTTAAACCGGTCTAACTAGAGCAATCTAGCAATAAACATACATAGCCTAAAAGAACAGAATAAACTTGCTTATACCCTACAAGAAAACTCAGAACTCAGTTAAGCCATACTCGAATTTACCATACAAGAAAACTCAGAACTGAACTGCCATGGTAAAGTTAATGCAAGAACCCCAAAACATAAGAAAACACAATCACTCGACCCCCTCTCCCACCATAATTAAAAAGGAAGAAGACATGTTACTGAGTACATGCAGAAGGGCAAGATTTTTACAGGTCATTCATTGCAGACAAGCTTCCAGGCATTCAGTGTTTCAAACTTCTTCCCATGGGATTGCTCCAGGCCTTTCCCAAACCTCCATTCCTCATTCAATAACCCTTGTTCCCCCGAATCCTCGCCCTCATGTCAACCTGGAATTTTGAGGTGCATTGAATCAATTTTAGTACCATCTAACAAGGTTAACGACGTTGAGAAAAACAAATTAAATGACGACAGCCACTGATTTTCAGTTCTTTTTCTTTTAGAAACAGGACTCACTGTTTATTACTATGATAAAAACTTTCTTTAAGGGTATACCACATGAAGCCACCCAGTCAGTCTCAGTCCCTGATGGAGTTTACAAAAGCATTGCCTCCAGAAGGAAGGATTAAACTGAAAGTGCAGTTATTGGAGGCATTATCTACAGGAACCTAGTAAGAACTGCAAAGTTTAGCTAACTCAAAATTTATCCAATCTTAACTCTATTGTTTCTTTCCAACCGGAGACTCCACCCTAAAATTTGTTTGCTTTGCCCCTTACCTTAAGCAATATCCATAAACAAGATGAAACATATTCTCTTCCAAAGTTCAATCTGAGAAAAACTGTAAATCAGAAGTTTACTAAAGGGCACAGGACAAAATGTATAGTTAGTTCCTTCACTTTCTTCCAAACATAAAGGCACGCTAAGGGTTAAAAAATTTTGTGACAAAACAATTGAACAACATCGAGTCTTCATCTTTCAGAAGTTTCGAGTCCATGAGAATAAGTTGTGCGGACTTTTTGGGGATATTTTCCTACTTACTCTTATAGAGATTCTATCTAGAACACTACTGCTGCATCCATTTGGTATAACACAGATGATGAACCTAAAAAAGGGAAACTCCACAATCTCTCGTATATCTACGCCGTTCCAATCCACTCATTTTCTATAAAACCGAGCAGGTCATTTAGTTCGCTAAATTCAAGTGCTGTCAAGTTCCTTCTAATCAGTACATTCCAGCTTCTAGAATCCTCATTTCATAATTCGTTTACTGAACCTCACAGAAAATGGATTAAGTCCCACGGTCCAGTGGCCAATATCTTCCCATCTTCTAATTCGATAGCAGAATTATTTGTGATGAATCCCCTTCAACTTTGTTATGTTTGATATAGAGATCCAGGCACTTCTGCCTTTTCTTTCAGAAGCAGGGCACTCCCCGCTTATTTTCGATAAATGCAGTTCATTGCCCTGCATTCAAAGCCTCCATACTCATTTTTCCATCAGTGCTTAATTTTTTTTCTCCGATTCTCACACTATCTCTGATCCTCCATTTTTCTATAGGGAAGAGACCACCCTTGAATTTACAAAGTGGATAAGCTTCCCTATGAGGAGCCATCCAAGAGAAAGTTTCTTGTCTTCTTTTTCAAGGTGTTGTGACGCTGTCATATTTCCCCTAGGCATGGGACAAGAAGAATGGTAGATTTGCTAGCACCATGTGACACAAGGTTGACCTTCCACCTTTAGCATAGGGCAAAAATCCTAGCATATATTTCCAAGAAAAATTTTCAACATTCACCTATAGCATTACTTTGGATGTCCCTTTGGATAGCTTCACCCACAGAAGTTCTCTCTACTTCCCAATGAGATTAGAAAATAAAGAAGTGACTAATCATCTATTCACAGTCCACTATCTTAAGACCAATCTTTACATTATATAATACCACATAAAAGTTTAAACTACAAGTTTCCATGTTGGATCATGAGGTGTATTTTAGAATACTTTGAAGCACCAGTAGCATGATTGAGATCTACTTAAACAAAAAATGAACGCCTGCATGAGGCTAGAGAAGGAGTTCACAAAAACTTGCCTGGCCTCTTTTACAATTGAAATATGTTTCCCTTAATCCCACGCATTCACTAGGAATGCAAGGACTCTTCTCTCCAGCACATTCCTTGTAAGTTCGGTTCTGTACCTGAAATTACAACATAAAGACTGAAATCCATGTTGAAATCAAGCAACGACGCTATACATCCTTAGTTACATTATTCGTGATAGACTGTTCTAACATTCATTAATACTGTATAATCTGTCACAAATGATAGCCAAAGAGTAAAAAGGACATTTCAGAATAATAGATGGCAATTCTATAGTAAGATTATCCAAGTACTGATAAGATACATGTCTGCACACGCACACACATAAAGACAGACAAATACCGAGAGAAGATGATTATACAAGACCTTTACACAATCGGATTCGCTGAGACACTTGACCAGTTCCATCGCTAAACCTTTGCAAGACTTTGACATCCTTCCCCTTAACTTTACCCTCCTCAAAGATTCCTGTTATGCCTTGAATCTTCACTTGAAATAGCACAATTATCTTCGTTTACAGTATTCAGCTTCGTCCTCTTGACAATAAATATCAACCGAGATGATTTTCTACTCGCAGGACTTAACTGGAAATCAGAAAGTATGCACAATTCTCCTCAGTGTCAGTGAGGAACAGCATGATAAATCGTGAAACAATCTATAACGGGAAACAAGGCGGCAAATAACACACCAAATTCATATTACATAGAGAGACAACAAAAAAAAAAAAAAAAAAAAAAAAAAAAAAA